TCCTTGGGGTAATCTGTAATTGGTTTGTCTTCTTCGGGACTCCTCTTCCCATTCTCTATCACCCCACCCCACCCTCAGTCACACACACACGCACACACACACACACACACATTCATTCCTTCACTAGCTTACTCACACACTCACACACATACACTCACAGAAGTTTACACTATTAGTGCTTATTGTGCTCTTGGCACTTACAACACTCACCTACTCAGAACAGCTCAATGCCTTAGACATTGTTATGTATCATCCTCTTTGTACAAATGAAAGTCCCTGGGAGGCACAAATGGTTAAGCGCCTAACACAAAGGTTGCTTTGAACCTACCCAGAGCACCTCAGGACAAAAGCCTGGTGATCTCCTTCTGAAAGGCCACATTGTTGTTGTTGTTGTTATGTGCCGTCCAGTCAGACCCGACTCATAGCGACCCCTCCTTGGGTTTCCGAGGCAGTATCACTACGGAAGTACACTGCCCCATCTTCCTTCCAAGGAGTGGCTGGTGGGTTTGAACCACCAGCCTTCTGGTTAGCAGCCAAGTGCCTTAGCCACTATGCTACCAGCCTTAAAAATTCTATGGAGGAAAGTTCTACTATGAAACACATGGGATCACCATGAGTCTGAATCAACTTGATGGCAACTGATTTGGTTTTGGTTTCAGTTGTGCAAATGAGGAAAGTGAGGTACAAATAGGTTAAGCAATTAGTTCCAGGCTGCACCACAAGTAAATGGTGGAGCAAGGATATATCATTTAAGTGGTGTGGATCATATAGTTTCTACTGATATACTTTTCTGAAATGGTTTTTGGACCAAATGAACATAGGGCCTTCATAGGTGTAGATGGAATCACACAGGTATCTGCCACTAATCTTTCATAATTAGAAACCATTCATGGCTTAGGGCATCCAGCCACTTAAAAATGTGTTTTAAAATCATTCCTCAAGTCTCTGAGCATTGAGGAAGATTACTGCCATGCTCTACACAGCTTTGCTTCAGCTGGACAGCCCTGGTTTATTGAGAGGGAGAATCAGAGTTTAATCATTCTCCTGATTTAGTATCTCAAACATTAAAAAACATTCAGCTGTGGAGTAGAAGCTGGAACAGACAAGGACGAATTATTATTTTAAGATATTTCCAGGCAAACAAAATTCATCAGTTAAGAATATCAAGCAAAGGAATTTTCAGTGGCTTAGGAAGTAAACGACTTAGCATGAATGACCTCACTTAAAAGAAGTCTGGAGGTGGGTACCTGCAGAATGGCTGTGCCCTGTTCACTGATGCCATCCAGGGCATCCTTCTGTCTTTCCTCTGTAGCATGTATGTGTTAAGTTTCTCAACCTCAGGCCTACTGTCTCATGTTTGCAAGATGACTACTCATGGTAGCTTCAAATACTTCCCCACGTGCTGCAGAGCTCAAGGCCGCAGGAAGGAGCAGCCTTCTTGTGCTGCCACATTTTATCAGGCAGAAAAATCCTTCCCCAAAACCTCACTCTCACAAAGGCTGTCTCTTTTTTCATTGGCCAGACCTAGGTCATTTGTTCACCCCTCAATCACTAACAAGGGGTGTGAAATGACCATGTTTGGCTGAGACCAGTAAGATTCATGCCCCAGGGCTTGAACAAATGGTATTTTTTAAGGTAAAGAAGAGAGGAGTGATTGTGTGTTTGTATGTACATGTCCCCCATGCTGCTCTGGGGACAGGCTGTGAACCTTAAGGTAAAGGATGTGACAGGAGATATAGCCGCCTGTTCCTGGAGAAGAGAGAAGTAGAAGGAATGCGCTGAGGGCGGCTACACAGGCCTGGCTTTGCCCACGGCAACATGTGATTCCTCTAGATTACTGAGGATGGTGACTCACAAGTCCTTGTGCAAGATCAAAATTTTGATTACATTCTACAATGGAAGGACTTTCTCAGAGGAATTTCTTGAGGACACCTGAGTGTTATTTTCTCTGCATTAACTTATCAGAGAATGTCTGTCCCTTGCCTTCAGACATGAAACACAGTTTGCCTCCTTAAACTTTTTCCTCTCAAGACTCATGAGATTCTTGTTCATTATCTTCTGTTTGGTATCGTAGAAAATCATTTGAAGCAAGAATGGCATAGATTGGGGCGTAGTGATATCCCAGTTTTTCACTCAAATGCTTGTAATATGTCTCTATATTTAAAAACTTTTTGACATGGATACATGTAATTGTGGGCCTTTTAATACTAAATTTCTTTGGAGGACAGTTAACCTTTCAGATCAGCAATGCATCTCAGGTAAGTTCTCTTTATGACTAGGCTTCTGTTCCAACTGTTTTGATTTTTTTCTTTTGGAATAGCTTTCAGTCATAGGTTGCATCTCTGTTTTTTGCCTTCACCCCAGTTCCCTTTCCTCTTTGTTTCAATCTCTGGTTCTCCATTCTGGGAAGGGATACTAAGTTCTCCATTCTGGGAAGGGACACTATGTTTTCCTTCCACATGTCCCAGCTGGCTCTGACAGGGCTAACTGTGAGGCAGAGCCAGCTGTGAGACCCTCAGCTCAGCTACTGCGAAGCTCATCTCTTCACGGTTCTTCTCTGACTCCTACACTTCTATCACCTCTATCGCTGGCCTTTCACACCAGTCTCTTCCCTTCTGCTCTTTCTTATACCATGCTGACCCTCTAGATAATATACTCCCCCAGGGAAGGCATTTCATTGTACTCCCCCTGCCCCCACACTGATAGTATCTCCCCTACCCTCATGTCACAACTTCCATAATAGCTGGTTCATAACTGGGTCCCACGGGCTAGTAGGCGCTCAACAAATACCTATGTTGGAATGAATGGCTGAGGAAGAACTCCAGGTTTTAGTAAAGACACAGCTCTTCTGGAGCTATAACTCTGTGTGGGGTTCGCTGACTGAAGGGATCCTGGGACAAGACTGGTAGAGTCTGAGGGACCTGGGTTTGAGTGCCTTCTAGCTGTGTCATCATGGGACAAGATATCTAACTTCCCTGAGCCTCACTCTCTTTGGCTGTACAACAGAGACTGATTGTTTTGCAGGGCTGTAATTGAGCAGCAGTAGTACTTGAGAACTTGTTCCTTTTCCATGGCCAAATGGGGCTTGGCCCCCTCCTCACCAGCATCACCCCCTTTATAGGCCCCTGTGTATTTTGAAGGCAAGCCTTATGGAACAGTCAGTGAGTTCCAAGTTCAGGAGAAACCGGGGCATGGTGAAATCTGTCCTCTTCACACCAGTATCAGCTCTGGTATCAGAGAAGGGCTCTCTCCTCTGGGATTGATCAGGAACAATACGAGGAAGCAGAATTGTAGGCAAAATGTCAACTGGAAGAAATCCCATCCACTTTGTCTATAAAAAGGCTCTGAATGGGTGAAGACATGGTGCTCACAGCTCTCAAAAGGTGTATTCTATCCAAACGCAGCCACTCCCAGCCGAGTCAACTGCCATTCTGTTTTATAACACATATAAAACAGCTCAAACTTTTTAGAAACATTCATTCCTGTGAATGTGAACAGCTGCTCTTCAAACACACAAATAAATGCATCCATAGCATGCTCTGAACTTTGGAAGACTGAAATAAGTTCTGTACTTCTTTATGGGGCACTCCCTGGGCTAAGCATGCCTTTTGTGGGTTAAGATCTAGTGGTCCTTGTGGCTTCGAGGGGTCAATGTCACACAAGGTCAGTGACAGTTTCTCGTCTCTTAAGCCTCATCTGCAATGCTAAGCAAGTCATTTTACCTCAGAGGCCCTCTTGTTTTCATCTGTGCAATGGGAATGATAACATTATCTACAGAGGTCTGTGGGAAACTGAGGGCGCCAAAGGGGGGTGTGAGGAAAGAAGGCATGCTTACGGGAAGGTTGAAGTTGACAGCTGCCATCGGTCAACACAGCCAACACTGCCTTACTACAGTGAGTGCTTAGTAGTGTTTAATGACCACAGTCTGGCTGGCATTGCATCTACACAGAGGGAGCTCACACTGTGCTTCCCTGCCTCTCCCCACCATCTTCTGGAGGTGG